GAAAGCCCAGGCGACGTCGATCGTCTTGATTGTGTAGCTGTCGAAAGCAAGCGAACAGGCAGCGCCAGCAATGGCGACTACTGCAGTATACAAAGCACTTCTCAGAGTCAACCTCATGATGAGTACTAGGGCCGAGTCGGTCGACTTGTTGAAGCCCGCTATTCGCTTCCGTAGAGAGACTATGTCTGGAAAGGCAGTCGAGTCAGCACGCCCAGGCGAATACCAGTCGAGCAAAGTGCACACATGTTACGGAGATGGCCAGGTCAACGCTTGCAGAGCACACGAGGAATGTTGCCATGCAATTGTTGAATGTCGGGAGACCACTGATTTTTGGCTCCCACAGTGGATCTCTGTAGAACAAACAGAGCCAGCTGGGTCATGAGAGAGCATCAGTATAAGTTCTTGACATTGGAGCTGACTTCTTGTATACTGACACCGTGACACCGACGCTGCCGAGGAAGCCCGTCAGGATTGTCAAGGCGGCGATGACGAGCAACGGCACTCTGATTCGCTTGAGTTGGATGAACCTCGAAGCGCGCGTGACGAGAATGGATTCGACGATAGCGCCGACAAGTCCAGCGAGGACTGGCTCGAATGCCTCGGGCCAAGTCCCGCGCAGTAACGTCGACAGTTCGCGTGACTGCAGCGTGCCAAAGTACCACAGATCATACGTCTGCAGCCCGACGATGGCTCCGACAACAAGGATGACAGCGACGATGGTACATCTGAGTTTTCGCGAGCTGGCTCGCCATGCCGAAGATTTCACGAAGTTGGTAAAGCTCGACAGCAGCAAGCCGAACAGGACGAGGTTGCAGGCGTCGCCGAGCAAGACCGGACCGAGCTGCATTGCACCCAACTTTAGCTCTTGTGCAAACATACATAAGTAGAGGGGCACTGACCACGGAGATCGCATCGGCGGACGACGCTGGTGGTTCAACATCTGAGCTTGCGCGCGAGTTTAACATGGCCGATGCAAGTGATCGGGGCGGATACCGAGCGTAGCGTAAACGGACGCCGGTCGTCGAGCCGATAATCACTAGCAGCAGCAGGTAACGAGAAAACCTCGTCTTGTGCTTGCTGAAACTGGCGCCGGGCGCAGGACCACAAGCCCACCCGCCGCAGTTTGTTCGCAGCACGTGGATGTGATCGCCCAGCCGCCTGATCGGGTCAAATGTGCCGAATTTGAAAACGAGAAAGCTTCTCAAGTCGATGGCCTTTGCGGCATTACGCATTTTGACACTGATGTTTTCCCGAGCACGCGCAGCTACAGAATCTGCCTGCTTGTCATTTCCGGGAACGCTGCCTCCGCAGCCGGAAGCTGGCTTGGCCGCTGTCCTGGGCCAAGCAAGATCTACCCTGCATCGCAGCAAACGTCTGCCATGCGCTCGCGCGGATTTACGAAGATGGCCTCCCTCGTGTTGCGGAACTTCGGTCGGTAGTGGCGTTGGCGTACCTCGACTGCTCGAGTCAGTCAGTTGGCTCGTCATGCATAGGTTAGAAACGATCCCAGAGTCAACTCGCGAGAAGATGGGACCGCGCGCGATCTGAGCACTGTCATCAGTCCGTGGCCCCGCGGAAATAGGGAAACAGGAGTCGTCCGAATCTCTGATCCAGCCAACTTGGGAACATGCAGCACATTAACGCAAGAATCGTGAGATACAGATGCACGCCCATTTCACTGCACATTTGGCGCATTTGTGGGCCCTCTTGCGCTCGGGCCCCTCGCCTCCTTTCTTCTCCCTCGTCAGATTGGCGACGCCATGTCGGATCTGCCGGCGTTCGACGTGACAGTGATACCAAGTCGGCTGCAGGAGGGATTACCGAGCGGTGTCCGGCTGCGTCCGCTGCAGCTCGGCGATTATGAACGCGGGCACTTGCGCCTGCTCGCGACGCTTACGCAGGCGCCAGACATTGGTCGGGAAGCATGGCAAGCAAGGTTCAAAGAGCTAGTCACGACATGCGGCACGTACTATCCGATCGTGCTCGTTGACGACGGCGCGGACGAGCTGGTCGCGACCGGCACTCTGGTGCACGAGCGCAAGTTCATCAGGGCCGCAGGCACGGTCGGACACATCGAAGACATTGCAGTGTCGCCGAAGATGCAAGGCAAGGGCTTGGGCAAGAAGATCATTGACGCCCTCGTCGCCATCAGTCAGGAGCTCGGCGCGTACAAGGCGAGTGCAGTCGCAACAATGTTACAAACCCATTCAGTCAGGCTAACTGGTTGAAACGCAGACGATTCTGGACTGTAATCCGAAGAACGAAGGTGAGCACGCAGGCAAAAATTTCGCCACTGCCAGGCTCAAAGTCTATTGTCTCTCTATGCGCAGCATTCTACATCAAGTGCGGGTGAGCATCGGCGCAGAGGCATGGACGCTCCCGATCTGACGCTCTGTCAATTCTAGCTTCGAGACGAAAGGATGCGAAATGGCCCGATATAATGTTTAGACTCCTGACTCGAATAGATTCCCTTCATTTGGCAAAGCATACCCACATTCTGAGCACGAAAGTCTACAATGACGATTCCTGGGCCAGAGATAGAGGCTACCCAGGCAAAACCCTCGCGGTCACCGAAAGGGTCGCCAATCTCTTCAATCAGCCTGCGAGGCCCTCGAACGCATTCAAAGTTGGTCCATCACATAATGATGCAGCATCTTCCCGACCCGGACTACGTTCCAGTCCTGCCGGCGAGACCTACGCTTTGCGCGACCGACCTCGCTGCCGAGCTGTCCTCTCTCGAGCTTGAGGGCAGCGCCGACATCTCCGACTGCGAGACCTGTGACAGTACACCGTCTAGCCTTACCTCTACATCGTGCATGTCGGCCTGCTGTCCGCCACCTGACAAAACCGAGATCGACAACTTCGAGCCGGTGTCCATCGCTCCTGAAAACTTTACTCAGGTCCTCGTCGTCGGCGGTGGTCCACATTCACTGGCACTTTGCGCAAGACTCGCCGACTCGCACCCAGCATCACTCTACACTGACCTTGAGCACGCTCGATTGTCCTGGCTCCATGCTCGCAGACCCGCTCGGCCTTCCTCGACGAAGCACAAACCTGCGGTCAAAGGTCACTGGGCTGCTCGCAAGCTCGTCCAGACTTGCAGTACTTGCACTTGCTCTGGCAGCGATCTCTCGTCTGTCGTTCGAGTCATCGACGCTTCCGGGAAAGGCTTTCTAGCTAGGTGGAACTCATTCTTCAGAGGACTCGAGATCCAGTACTTGCGCAGCCCAATGCTGTTTCATCCTTCGCCCGCCGACAACGACGCGCTAGTGGCGTATGCAAGACGAGTCAATCGGGTCGGTTCCTCCGGCCCCGTCCCGTTTCCTCCCAAATTAACCGGTATATTCTTGGCCAGGAAGACGAGTTGATGCCAATTGACAACGTGGTTGGGGCAGAAAAGAGCAAGCACGAGCGCAAGAAGAGGCACGTTTGGTATCTTCACATGTATGCGGGCAATCAGCTAAGCTCAAACGGCTTGTGTAGACAATCCCGCTGCGGCAAAGCCAAAACAATTAACGAGCGAGAAAGAGAAGTACGCGGGGTGACCTAAGCTTCTCAAATGTAGCTGAATCGCCATCACAGGATTACTTCCGGCCTTCGAGCGCTTTGTTTCGTGACTTCATCGAGGACGAGCTCGTCAAGCGATATCATCTGCAAGACCTTGTCACTCACGGCAAAGTAGTATCTGTCAGCCGAAGACAGCTCCATGTACAAGGGCAAGAGCTGGTCGACGGGTTCCGCATTGTCGTCGTGATGCCCGACGGTACGGTCTGCGTCTTTGGCGCAGCAGCAGTCGTTTTTGCAGTCGGTCCCTCTAGCACGCCTTTCCTGCCTCCTACCATCGAGAAAGCGCTTGCGAGGTCAGAGAGAGGTCAAACAGTCAGGCATGGGCAAGCTTGGTGTCACTCGACCGCTTTTGCAGACGAAGGCTTCTGTTTCCCTCCCCCGTTTCTTGCTGCCAAGATTGCGCAAGGCAACCGAACGACTCTGCTGGTCATCGGTGGAGGGTAAGAGACATATTGCCCTGAAGGCGAGCGGCCGACCGTTGATGAACCATTCCGCAGTCTGACTTCCGCACAAATTGTCGATCAAGCCATTCGCAAAGGCGTCTCGAAAGTCATTTTGCTCTGTCGCGGCTCACTCAAAGTCAAGCATTTTGACATGGACCTTGAATGGGTCTCCAAGTATAACAATTTGCTCAAAGCTGCGTTCTGGCAAGAAGAATGCCCATTGGCTCGTCATGCCACCATCATGTCGGCTCGCAATGGTGGTTCGGTCAACCCTCAGTTCGCAAGCATCTTGAACAAGCACGTCAAGTCCCGGCAACTTGACCTCCACTTGCACACGACAGTTGCAGAAGCCCAATATCGAGACGGACTTTGGTCAATCAAGACCTCGGACAGCGTATCCCATCACGTCGATTATGTCGTTTGCTCAACTGGCAGCAAGCTCGATTTCGCTTCGGTGGAGTGCGTCCAACCGATGCTCGACAGCGTTCAGGTCGTGAACGGGTTGCCTCGCCTCACGCCCGACTTGCAAATCGATAAGGATCTGCCCGTGTTTGTCATGGGCGCGTATGCTATGCTCGAGGTCAGTCGAGGGATCAGCCTTTCTTTTACTCAAATGTCTCAAACTTGCCCTTTGCGTAGCTCGGACCAGACGCGTTGAATCTGAGTGGAACTCGACACGGAGCAGAACGAATCACACACAAACTCGTTAACATGGGCATCGTGCAAGGACACGACAGCTCGCCAGAAAAGGATCGAGTGTCGGGCAAAGGCAGCTTTTTCGCGGCGTTGGCAGAAGTGGCGGCTTGAGAGGGTTTTCAATAAGGCTGCAGTGCAATCCAGCCCGTTCTCGAACCAAAAATCCGCTAGCCAGCAGGGTCAAAAGTACAGGGACACCTGTAGGTAATCAAGTCATCAAATGCGATAGACGGTTTGTTGGGCAAGAAAAAAGAAGGCAGCCAAACCGCAGAAGAGAGCCAGAAAAAAATTAATTGAGTGCGAGGGGAATCGAACCCCTTTCTTCTGCTTTCGAATCATGGAAGGCAGAAATCTTAACCAATGGACCACGCACCCGTGGTTTGATAACACGGCCACGCCTTCAAACGTACATAAATTGCAAAAATAAACGAGGGGACCGAAGGTTCGAGCATTTTAGGACCTCTTTCAAATGGATGAATATATTCAGCAAACACCTGGCAGCTTTCCTTGGACTTGTCTCCCTTTTTCCCCCGTTTGTTTAGAAAAAAAAATCCCCCGTTCTATGACCAAGTAATCAATCGCAATGGATAGTTTGTTTAGAAAAAAACAAAAAAATCCTGTAGATGAGAAAGTGATGTAATGCAACGGATAATTTGTTGGGACAGATCCACGTTAGAGTGAGCGCCAAAAACATAGAGGGAACACTTTGACTGGCAAATCGAGCATAAGCTTGCTTGCGCATCTGCAGACGCAGCGCAGAGATCGAAATCGAGCATAAGCTTGCTTGCGCATCTGCAGACGCTGCGCAGAGATCGCTCGAGTCCGAACACTATCGACACAATCGAAACTCGAGGCTGACAGCGTGATCGAGGAACATTAACTGCGCCTCATAGCTCTGACTCCCAAAAGTTCTCTCGTGTTCTCACGGTAGCTCTGTATGGATCACTCGAATGCAATAACGTTACAAAAGGAATAGTCCTCTGTAGACTTATGCCACTGCTGATACGATCTCGATATCATTCTTCTTGGCCCACTCTACGGCGCCATTGTATCCAAAGTTGTAAGGAACAAATTCTTGCGCGTTCAGTGTGAACGTCTCTCCCTCCCGAGCGCCAAGAGCTTTTTGACGAGAGAACCCTTGAATGTTGGTGGCCCGCTGGTACCTAACCTTTTGAACTTGCTCGAGCAACTGAGGCACGTTTGACGCGTTCGTGGCACCCTTGAGCAGTGCTCCCAGTGCCTCGGCATCCTCGACGGCTTGTCCGCCTCCTTGACCTTGATCTGTGAAATGGGACGCTCAGCGCCGAGAATCTTCTTCAAGGAGATCGTCTTGTCCACTCACGAGGCAACATGGCATGTGCGGCGTCACCGATGATGATCGCACGTCCCTTTGTCCACGTTGGCAGCGGATCCTGGTCGCGCAACTGCCACAGACCACAGCTCGGCGCCATGCTCAACAATCGCTTGACATTGTCTCCAAAGTACGAGAACGCCTCGACGAGCTCTTCGACCGAGCCAGGAGCGTTCCACACTTGCGCAGATTCCGACTGGAGGGATGTGTCGGGAATGATGGCCACAATGTTGAGGTACTCGCAACGGCGGCACGGGTAGGCGACGACACGTCGGTCGTGGCCGACAAATGTTGCCAAGCCAGGGTTTGACGAGTCAACGAGCCATGCCAGTTCGGGGTCAGCGCGAACCTTTTCAGCAGGAATCTGCCATCCAAAAAGCTCTAGCGGTCAGACAGATGGAAACAAGACCGAATCAGGATCAACTCACGAGGCAGCGGTACGCCGAGTGTCCGGTGGGCTGTGCGACAATCTTTTCACCGAGGATAGCTGCACGGGTGACGCTGTGAATGCCGTCTGCACCCACAATGACGTCGCCGCGAACAGTCTCGCCGTTCTCGAGCTCGACGATTCCCTCTTCGCAGTTCTGCATCAAGAAGATAGCAAGTGAATACGATCCCCGCGACGAGTCTATTCTCTTGAGCACTCACAACAGACTTGACCTTGGACGCCGTTTGAAGAACGGCAGGCGATCCAGGTCCGTCGGTCGTGGTGGCGAGTCGCTTCAGCTCAGTGTGCAAGTCGACACGGTGGTTCAAAAGCCACGGGGCTCCAAAGCCCTTGATCGTGTCAATGGGCGCATTAATTTGAATTTTGCCGTCCTTGTCGAGCTCTTTGTACTAAGTTGCCCGGCGCGCAAATTGTGTCAGCTCTTGTGGTTCGCTGGTTGGGACAGAAAATAACACAACATTCTCTTACCCAGTGCACGATTGGGCTGCCCATGTTTTCAACCTTCATGCCCCACCTGTCGATTGCGATCCTTGCGGCGTTCGGGCCGAGATGGATGGCGGCGCCGATTTCTTGGTTCATGCGGCTCTGTTCGAGGACGACAACGTCATGTTCCCGGAGTGCCGTCGCTGCTGCCAACCCAGCGATTCCAGCTGATGAATGCAGAGAATCTTGTTCAGTTGCCCGTTCACGGCTCGACCGTATCCATGCACCCTACCTCCGACAACAACTACGCGAAGGCGTGACGAGTCTGCTGAAGGCATCGTATACAAATGAAAGACTCGAAGGCGGAAAAGGGAGAGAAGAGGTCCGACGACTGACGCCGCCGCCGCAAGTCTTTTGGCGCCGAGCGGGGTCCCGACATCCCGGTTTAACGCACAAAAAAAAATTCGACGTCCGACTCTGCAGGGGTTTGTCAGCGATTTGAGCCTTGTCCACAGATTCCGCACAATTCCTCATATGGCCGATCGACGAGCAGAAAACCCGAGCGCTCTCCCACTTCGGCTGGGACCTTGGGAGAGCGGGGAGATTTGAGCGTTGTGCGCCCTCACAATTCGACCACACACGACACGCCGAACATGACGAAACATCCGACGCCCGTGATTCTCGTCTCGCACGGTTCAACCATGATGCTCGGCGAAGACACGGAGAGTGGCAGGTGAGCTCGGTTCCCAGAAGATGTCACCCCCGAACTAAGGCGAGAGTCGACTGATACATTGGCGCTTGCGCATTCGACAGATGGTGGCAAAGCGTTGGCGAAGAGGCCATGAAGCGCAATGTCAAAGGTGTCGTGTTTCTCGGAGCGCACTGGGAGGTGTCTGGCAACGGAGTCGAGATTGCTTCAAACGATGGAAACCCCAAGAAGCAGCCCGTCGCCTGGGTCGACCCTTCAAAATATGTAGACTACCAGGTGCGATCCTCCTTCTGAAGCCGATGTTTTATGCGGTCGTGTGGCGTCCGAAAGTTGACCCGTTCCGAACGCTACGTTTGCCCGTGGTTCTCGCGCGTGACTTGTGCAGATCAACTCGTCGCCAAAGCTCGCCAGAAAGGTTCAAGACTTGCTCGTCGCACAGGGAATCGAGGCGAAACTTAACCCGAACCTTGAATGGGGTGGGTGGCTCGGCAGTCACGTGACTTGTTCCGTTCGCGGCTGACTGGGTTCGACGTGGACAGTGCATGACGTTTTCCTCGTGTTGAATTGGATGTTCCCCAAGAGCTCACCTCCCGTGACTGTTATCTCGACGAACGCTTATTAGTGAGCGCATTCAGCCGGCCAAAGAGTGTCGCTCGCGGCTGACAAGAAACTTTCTGACTGCAGCGACCCAGAATTGTTGGTTTCGATCGGCGCAGCAGTTCGACCGCTCAGATATGAAGACTACTTGATCATTGGCACGGGCGTGAGCCTGTGACGTTTTAGCTTCGATTACATCTGGATACTGACCCGGCTTCTCGTCTACAAAGGGCGTTGTACACAACTTGTACCGCAACAAGTGGTCCAACATCGTCATCTACCGCGACAATTTGGCACAGCAATACCCTCCCGAGCGATGGGCTGTCGATTTCCGAAACGAAGCTCGCGATGCACTGACAAAGAACTCGGGTCCGGCTTTGCGCAAGGCTGCCATGCGGTTGTTGCGCCACCCGCTGTACCGTGACGCGCACGGCACGGACGATCATTACGCCCCAGTCTTGTTCGCGGCTGGCGCGGCTGGTGACAAGGAGGACGAAGGCACCAAGAACACGTCACCCGCAGAAACTTGGGAGATCATCAACATGGCCAACGTGAGTTGACTCCCACTCGCAATCAGCCGTAATAATTGGCTGACGTGAGCTGAAACGCCGTTCTGCGTACAGACGCAATACCAGTTCGGCGAATGGGGTCCGGTATCGGCTTGAGCTTGATCTCCAATCAGTAGTGCGCGTTTCAACGTCAGTGTCTTGTATTTCTATCGCCGTTCTGTCGTTCTTAGCCTCGCCGGAAACACGCCTCGCACTCCATTGAGACAGATGATTTGCAAGGAGCCTCTCTGGACGCGTAAGGATACAGAGTCAGAGCATACTCGCCCGTGAGCAAGAAACAAGACGCACGGCCGCCGCTTGCTCGACTCTGGTCACTTGGATGACCTCTTCTCGCAGTTCCTTGTTCTCAAGCATCTCTTGACGTTGAACTCCTTCCAGCAAACCACATTCTGACGATGGAGTGAGCCATGTTGTATCGCTATCGTCAAATTTGAACGCAATGTTGGCGATTGTCGTTTCCGTCACTTGATTGCGATCGTTGAAGAGGATGACGTCGAACGGCGGATCTTGCTCGTTGTCGGAGGGTCTCAGAGTTGCACCTGTCCGAGTCATGAGATGAGCAATAGCATCACAGCGTGCGGTGACTGCGTCTTTTCGAAAAAACGAACGCACCGTGCCGCAATCGAGCAGTGTCGTACGTCGTCCTGTGTGTCGTCTTGTACCTCATGAAGGGATCCGAGTAGTCTGTAGCCCGGTCGTCAAACACGAGCTGGATCGGGTCTGCCTTGTTTTGGAGTCAGTGGTGGCGAGGCGGTTTCTTGGCAGACGATGGGCACTGACACGGCGGCATGCGCTCGAGCGGGAACGCCTGAGCATGAGGCAGCACGTCATGTCCGATGGTCACTCGAATCTGCAAAAGTGGCTGTCGTCAGCTGTCGCACAGCATCGCGAGACGCGGCCTTTGCCCAACTCACGCGCAGCGGATTGCCCAAGCCAACGCGCTGGCATGCGCTCCACATCTCGCGCTCAATCGTTGTCCAATCTGGAAACTTGGACTGTGCGCACCACGAGTCGGGCATGAGCTTTGCGAGGCTAGCGTGGGCGAGTTGGAGCCGGAGGCAATGACGCTCGACGAGCGCCAAGCCGGACGTGGGGGTGTATCTTGTCGCCGTCATGATCTTGAAATCATTGATGTCCGCCATCTGAGCGGCAGACTGGACCGGGAAGGGTGGCTGATCCACTCTATCGAAAAAAGTCCAAAGTGCGCGCGCGCAATCGAACCGGACCTTCGTCTGCTTCAAGCACGCTCACAGCGCACAGGCACACCCTCGGCCCGAG